TTCTTTGACAACCTCAATCTTCTCTCCATTTATTGTGATGCTGCTCATTGGTCCAGTTGTGAGGATTTTTGTTTTCTTTATATTGAGACATAATTCCTACTGCAGACTGTATTCTTCAACCTTCATCAGTAGGTGCCTTAAATCATCCTCACTTTCAGCAAGCAAAGTTATAAATAGTAAACAATAAAAAAATATGGGAAGGAATCTATATGCATTAATATTTTCTTCATAATATATATTTTTTATGATAGTAAAAAATTAGAAGCAACCTTAATGGTAACAATAGGGGTCTTTGGAGGTAAATTTATGGTTATACCCTCTGAATGGACTTCAAAAAATTATTAAAATATTAATTGTGAAGTCTATTACAACACAGAAAAAGGAAGGATAAAAATTTAATTCATACTATCACTATTTAAAGCATGGATAGAAAAGAACATACAACATAATAGTTATGGAAGAGATATTCATTTTATTTTCAAAAGTTTCACTAATTATGCACAGAAGTTTCTATTATTTAAAATTAGCTTCACTATGAGAAATATTTGCTTAAAACTTCTGAAGTCTTAGAATGATATTCTATGCTAAAATGCTGCACAACATTTCTGTTTGCTAAATGTTCTGCTGTTGGCAGACAGTAAATTTTTTAGCTAAGCAAATGTCAGTTGTTGCTATAGCACTTCTAAAATTAAAATAGAGTTACATAATATTTGGCAGTGGTAGTCTTGGGTAAATATGGAGAAAAGTCAAAGATCGATTAAGAAAAGGAAAATGTCAACCTCCCTAGTCAGAGACAGGATCAGTCAGCCAGTGACAGGATCTTAACACAGGTTGGGACCCTACTGTTATGAATCAAATTCTGTCCTCTCAAAATATGGGTTGGAATTCTTATCCTTATACGTGTGATCAAAGCCCTGGTGGAGCAATGGTTGAATGCTCAGTTGCTAAGGGCTCGGCTGCTAAGGGAAATGTTGGTAGTTTGAACTCACCAGTGGCTTCAAGGGAGAAAAAAGCTGGTGATCTGCTCTTGTAAAGATTCCAGCCTACTGACACCATAGTTTCAGGGGACATCTAGGTCAACAGGCATAATTAGTCCATAAAGACAATGTTCTACATCCTACTTTGGTGAGTAGTAACAGATCTTAAAAGCTTGTGTGTGGTCATCTAAGATACAACTATTGTTCTCTTCCTATCTGGAGCAAGTAAGAGTGAAGAAACTCAAACACTCAAGGAAACAATTTGACACGAACCACAGCTTTCACTACTTAGAGACCAGCAGAACTAACTTGATGGTGCCCAGTGACCACTATCTACTATTCTGATCATGATCACAGTAGAAGGTTCTAGACAGAGTGGGAGAAAAGTACAGAACAAAATTCAAAATCACAAAAGACACCAGACTTACTAGTCTCATAGAACTGGTGGAGCCCCCAAGACTATGGCCTTTAGAACACCCTTCAAACCTGGAACTGAACCCACTCCCAGAGATCACCTTTCAGTCAAACAATAGACAGGCCTATAAAATGAACAGTAACAACTGTGAGGAATGTGCTACTTGTAATAATCAACCCATATGAGACCAAAAGGACAGCATTTGCTCAAAAACAAAAGTTCAGAGGCAGAAGAATTTAGAAAAAGTCCAGCAAATGGAAACAGGGAATTCTAGGAGAAAGTGAGATGAGAGCTATTACATTGAGGATTGCAACTAATGTATACATTGTTGAATGGGAAACTAATTTGTTTTATAAAGTTTCACTCAAACCAAAATAAAATATTTTTTAAAAAGAAAAAAGATTACAGCCTAGGACATCCTATGGGCAGTTCCACTCTATCATACAGGGCTGCAATGAGTCAGAATCCACTCAATGGCACACAACAACATACCTATGGGTATAATCTTATTTGGGAATAAGTTTTTTGCTATGTTAATGACCAATATCAGGGTATGTCCCAAACCTAATCACTCTGAGTTACAGTAAGAGCAGATAAGACAGAAACACATACTAGGGTAGACAGATGCTATGTGAGCATCACCAAGAACCAAGGGGCACCCAGATCTACCAACAAAGAAGGAAACCACATGGGAATGATGCCGATTTGAACTTTTAGCCTCCAGGACTGTAAGAAAATAAATTTCTGTTCTTTAAAGCCACTCGTGCCATTTGTTACAGTAGCACTAGGACACAAGACACCTACTATGTGGAAGGGACAGTACTAATGGGTAAGACACATCTAAGTAACTAGGATTAAATCTAGTAAGGTCTTGCTAAGGACAGTGAAAGTCTGGTGTGGAGGAAGTATTCCAAATAAACTACACCTGAGCACAACGATTTTTTTTTTTTTTCTTTTAAAAAAGGTCAGGGTATGTTTAGAGACCACAAAAGTGTCTTGATTACAGGTCACTTGTGAGATGCTTATGACATTCATGAAGGCTGAAGAGTTTAAGCTTTATTTTCCATGCAGTGGACTCAGAAGATACTTGAGAAGAAAGACTAAAGGTCTCTGTTGATTCTAAAGTCTACATGGAATGAATTAAGAGATAAGAGATCTTTGCAATAAACCAGGCCTTCATTATTATTTCTAATGTAAACTGATCTTGATTAGCACCTCCAGAATACTGTAGTTTACTTTAAAATGAGTTAATCACATTCTAACCAAGTTTTAGATGAGTTTTGGTATTACCTAATAGAATTGGCACATAATAGCAATCAGATTGCAGTGGATTATTTTAACTAGCCAGATGTGGAAAAATATGTAAAGCAATTGAAGCCAACAAAAATATGTTGAGAAATGCAGTCTCACAAGCAAAAGGATTTGGAATTCTAGAAAAAGTAGATTATCAATAGTTGTATCCCGATCTTTTGGAGTGGTAGATTTATTTAAACAGCTTACTATTAAGTAGTCATGTGACGCCTAACGGCCACTATACACAGATTATGCGATTTGGACGCTGTCCTAACATGATATAATATACAAGCTGTCTTCAGATTACAGCTTTAGAAACCCTATGGGGCAATTCTACTCTATACTATAGGGTTGCTATGAGTCGGAACGGACTCCACCGGAACGGATCTAACTTAATTAAGTTTTTTTAAAAAAAGTATAAATTGCCTTACCCTTTTGGGAAATAAGGTCAAAATGACATTTTTTTGGGTCTCTATTAGCGTAAAAGAATTCAGATTTTGAAAACATTTCTCGTTCCAGAAAATATTACAATGCATCTAGAATATGGATTTAGGCCCAAAGCGTTTCTGTAATCTACAGTTTAAGAGGATACAGACATCATTTTCGAAGTTGGCTCAAAACAGCCAGATATATTTGACAGTTGTCTGAACATTTCATAAAAATTAACTCATTACATGCACTCGAGGAGCTTTGGTGGCACAATGGTTAATGCACTGAGCACCTAACCAAAAGGTCTGCGGTTGGAACCCATCAGGCGCTCAGTGGGAGATGAGGCAGTCTGCCTCTGTCAAAGTCACAGCTTTGGAAACCCTCTGGGCACATCTACTCTGTCCTATAGGGTCACTAAGACTCGGAATGGATTCAATGACTAAGTGTGGTTTTGGTTTTAAACAGACTCAATCACCGAGTCCCTCACTTGAAAATCAACCAAGTTTGGTCACCGAACTATCGACATCAGGGCACAGCATCGGGCTCTTATTTACAAATGCTGAGAAATAAGCACAGTTTCCAAGTGACTTGAGAGCGCGCGCCGCGGGGCGCAACCTTTCCAGCGCAGCCAGCTGGGAAGTCCGGTTCCAGCGCGCGGGGGGCACCAGGCCGAGCGGCTTCTCCTTTCGTGTCCCCGGCTGCCCCCGTTCCCGGGTCCCCACGTCTCATTTGCCGTCTCCCGACGCGTGACCCCGCGCGCTCGCGTCCCGGACCGGTGACAGGAGCGAGGTGCGCCAGGCGGCCCCATGAGCCTCCTCCCTCTCGCGGCCGCCGCAGTCGCAGCGCCCCGAATCCCGCTCCGGCTCTTCGGCAGAGGGCTCGCCGCCACCATGTCCACCTCTGGGTCGCTCAAATCCGTGGACTACGAAGTGTTCGGAAATGTGCAGGGTAGGGAGCCCCCTACAGTGGGAGAAGATAGAAGAAGTGTTAGGGGAGGAAGGGGAGAAGGCTGCGAGAAGCGCCTCCCCTGTTAAAGATCCCCTTCCCGGTGGGCATAGGACTTCCGCTCCACCATGACACAGCAGCCGGGGGTGGGAAGAAGTAGAAGTGCGCACGCGCGGGAGAGCTGGGGTGGGCGGGGGGAAGGACAGGGGAGGGGAGAAAGGAGTTACAAAGAAGAGGAGGGGACGGGTGGAGGAGTTGTGAGAGTGAGGAATTACATAACCTAGAGATAATGAATGAAAAGAGGGGGCCCTTCAGCTAGTGGCCCCTGTTGTTTACCACTGAAACCACTTTGGCTTTACTTGAATTCTATGAAGGACTCCTAGATGTTTGAGGGCTCACTTTGTTAGAAGTCTTGTTTCCCTGTGTAGCAGTTAAAAGAATTATTAAGTTATTTAATATTTAAATTCATTAAGTTTAGATAGTTCCAAAGGATGTACTTACTATCTAGCTTCTTGTAAACACTGATATTTGTAAATTAAAACACTAAATCATGCTTTGAAATTTACCCGATGGAGTATAAATACTGATTTGATATCTACCATTATTCTTTAAAACTATTCTCTTTAATTGTGGGAAATTTTACATAAATTCCTTTTTGAATTTGATTTACATTCAACTTCCCCCACAGAATTGTATCCAGTTGTTATGCTTGAGTGTTTTTTATTGATTATCCTATTAAACTTTTCTGCATTATGTGTATGTGTGTGTGTGCACATATAATATTTTCTGTTCATTTCTTTGACCATAGATCTCTAAGTATTAGAAATTTTTCTTCTGGATTGAGTTACAATTATGATTATGACTAGAACACAGTTGATGAAAATAGTGTAAATATATTTCAAGTTATAATAAACATTATTAAATTTAAAAGGCAAAGTTTTATTGGAAATATATCTCTTATGAGAAGGTTGGGAGTGTTTCTGGTACCTTGATTAAAGGAAAGGTTGAATCATCCTTTTACTTGGCACACTAGAGGTTTTTACACTTTAGAACAGTATACCAGAGTAAGATTAAGATGGGTGAATATGTCTTGTAAAGAGATGGGCCTGCTTGTCAAACTGTGATTGTGAGAAGGAGGACGGCTGCAGACCACAGGTGCTTTCTCAGACAGGTCAGATACAAGGAAGCGTACATGTGGAAGTTAAAGATCTGGAAATTTATTCCTTAAAATTACTCATGGCTTTGTACCCTTCAGGAAGTCTTTGGGTGCATCCAGGAGTGTGGTACCCTCATTTGAAAATCACAGTAAATCACTAAACAGTATGAAAATAATGGCAAAGATTGTCTGTCAGAATATTGTGTCTACTTGACAGAGATAACAGTAGTTAAGGGGTGTGTATATGCATGCATGCATGCGTGTGTGTGTGTATGTATGTGTGTTCACATGTGTTATTTATTGGGGATGCTTTGTCTGCTGAACATTTTACTATTGTTTACTTAATCCTCATCATAATTTTGCTTTATTATTGTTTTAACACTGAGAAAATAAAGTACAGAGAGGTTTAATAACTTGGGCAAAACCGTAGTTGACAAATGGAATTTGATCCTATATCTCTTAGACTCTAAAACTTGCATTTTTCCCTTATAGAGCATTTTCTATTAGCACACACACACAATGTATTTCTATTGATTTTTTTAACTATATAAATGCACTTTTGTGCATATCATAATTATGTGGTATATGAGGCTCAATTTTGGGCAGTAATACAGATATGAGAAAAGTAGAATATATATAAATACCCACCCATTTCTGTAGAGTCAATTTTAACTTATGTGACCCTATAGGATAGAGTAGTACTGCTCAAAATGCTTCCAAGGTTGTAATCTTCATGGAAGCAGACTGCCACATCTTTCTCCTGTAGAATCACCCACCTTTTAGTTAGCAGCCTAGAGCTTAACTACTGTACCACCAGGGCTCCTTCTACATAAATCACTCACTCACTGCCATCGAGTCCATTTTGATTCATAGCAAACCCTTTGGGTTTCCAAGGTGGTAAATCTTTACAGAGGTAGATTGCCCCATCTTCCTTCTGTGAAGCAGCTGGTGGGTTTGAACCACTGACCTTCTGGTTAGCAGCCAAATGCCTTATCCACTGTGCCACCAGAGCTCTTTATGTACATAAATAGTATTTTTTTTTTTTTTTAATCATCTTGTGGGCAATAACTACTACAGTTTGCAGTGTGTTAAATAGAAAAAAGTACATGCACACTGTTGATATAATAAGGCATAATATGTGGGCAAATTGACAATACAAGCATATACACTAGCATTTACTGAGAATTTTGATGTGCCAAGCTCTGTGCTCAACATTTTTTGTGCATTATTTTTACATGAATCATCCCATTTAATATTCAACCCTGTGACTGAAACCATTTTCCTTATATAGGTGAAGAAACTTTCCCAAGTCACACAGCTTGTTAAGGGGTAAGGCTGGGATTTGATCATTGGCAGCTCTAGTGGCACAATGATTAAGCTTGGCTGCTAACTAAAAGGTTTGTGACTTGACCCCATCTAGTGGCTCTGGTGGCATAGTGGATAAGGCATTTGGCTGCTAACCAGAAGGTCAGCGGTTCAAACTCACGAGCTGCTCCATGGAAGGAAGATGGGGTGATCTACTTATTTAGAGATTTACAGCCTCAGAAACCCAATGGGGGTCACTGTGAGTCGGAATCGACTAACGGCAGTGAGTTTGTTTTTGGTTTTTAGCAGATCTGTGGAAGAAAGACCTGTCAATCTGCTTCCATAAAGCTTACAGCCCGGAAAACCTACACGTGGTCACTATGAGTAGAAAATCAACTCCATGGCACCCAACAACAAGAAGTCCAATGCAGGAGCCCATGCTCTTAATCACTATCTTCTATTGAGTCTCCTCTCAGTACACTCTCCACCTTTATTTTGCCTTCCTCCTAACTTGTGTACTGAACACATGTATGGACTGAAGCAGGACATTTGGACACTGCCATCTGGACCATTTCATATGACCCTGAGGACATTTTTACCCCAGAAAAGTTTGAAATAGTTATTAAGTAGTTAGCACGAGAGAAAAACTGTAGCCTCTGTCTCTGTCTTCATGTTTCCCTGTCACTTACTGGCACTGTCTGTCTGTCACTACTTCTGTGTATTGATCCCTTTCTGTATTTCACAGAACTGCTCACAATTTTCTTGTAGGCTACCTAAGAAATATCTACAATTAGCTTTTTATCAAAGTCATAAAAGTTATATAGAAATAAGTGACAATAAACAATCAGCAATAACTTTTTTAAAAATTTAAATATATAAAAAGAACAAAAAATGGAACATTATAAAATTAAAAAAATGTGGAATAGTATAAAAGTTGGCTTTTTAGAAATGACTATGAAAGTAAATGTACAATGGAAGAAACTGTAATTGAGAACATTTAATATGGGCAAGATATGGGCCAACAAATAAAATTATTAAAATATTTAAATGGAAAATATTCCCAATGAAAATGGTTTTGATGACATAAAAATGAACATGGGGGAAAAAGTAGAAAATAATTTAACTGTCTCGTGTGGAAAATTATCAATGGATTAAATTGGCTTAATGAATTTACCATAGAAAATGTCTTGCAACCAAAAGCAATATTTATATTTCTATATAAACCAATATTTATATTTGTATATAAACCAAGGGAGCTCTGGTAGCATAGTGGCTAAGACACTTGCCTGCTAACCAGACGGCTGGTGGTTCAAACCCACTAGCCACTCCTCGGAAGGAAG